CAAACTCCATTCGACTAGAATGCACAAAAAACTATTTATACGACCTCATTTTCATAAAAATGGAAGAGCAAGTTGATTTACAACTACAATCACATAATGAAACTATTGCTGCCATTATGACAATCCATAGTCACATTTTTTTTATCACCGTTCAGATCAATGTAACATTTTTTAAACAATGTACAACTTTATGTGAATTATTTGTAAAACTTAATAACAGAAATGCAATCTATTATAAAGATGTACAACAAGCTTACATAAAATTACAAAATGTTCAAAATATGTTACACTGCTTAAGAACGATTTTGTAGTGTTACCTTTGCGTGGAGGGATGTGAGTTACATAAATAGAGTTCATAAGGAGGATAAAAGTGGAACAAAAATAATGAGGGGCGGACAATGATACCAAAGTTGTCATTCCAGGGGTGCTAAGTGTGATTTCGAAAACATGAGGGGTTCTAGGTGTGATTAGAAGAAATCTCAAGGGAGGTTTCTGATATTAACCCTAAAAAAAAGGTAGCTCTACTACACGAATAAGAAGGTCTTTATTTTAACTACTGAATATATACATACCATTTCACTTTCATCGATATTCGGAGCAATAGCGTTTGGAGGGCCATTCACTGTCTGGCTCATTGAATGCGTCTACGAGTTTCGTATGGACCAAATCATTGTATAAGACAAACAAAATAGGTATATCATGAGGGATGACAGCCGTAACAACATTATTACACAATGTAAGATCAATGTAACTATTTATGCTGTTAGAAACATCCAAATAAAAGCAACAGTCATGTCCGTTTTATACTAACCGAAACAGAGTCAGTAGATGAACGACATCCCATAAACATGTATTCCTCATATGAAATCGATGTCGTCTCCGATTCTGAGGCCTACAGTATTGACACGGCAATAATATTATTTCATAATGAATGATACCTAAACTTTAGTTAATAGCATAACGATAACTTAGTTTTAGCATAAATGTTCCCCGAGTACCAAAATTTGATCCATACCGTAGTCTGTGTAGTCCTTGATAATCTAGATTTTCTTTTTACTCTGTCAAATTTATCGATCCAACTTCGCATCACTCTACTTTTCTTCCCACCACCTCGTTTTTTAATGCCTCTTGCGACTACTGCCTCCCCCATTTCATTCCCAATTTCAATTTTATCCCGTACCTCCATATTCAGATTTTTTTGATTTTGCAAAGGTTGTTCTTCACTTTCTGAGAGGAGTAGCTCAACTCTCTTTGCCAAATCGGATATGACAGTGATTGCTACTTTGCTGGTGTCCTCCGACATTGCTGTTCGAGTTGCGACTTTAATCATGGCGGGAGCGAGCTCCCGATAACGAGTTGAAATCATTATTTTAGGATCAGCCACAACTTCCCGTCTTCGCCGATCAAAACAGTCTCCAACCCGAGCTCTTTTTGTCCATCGCCTCTTAATGTATTCAGGAGGAATTATTTTTATGCCCACAGTATCAAACACCTTCAACGCGTGCCCACATAAAATACCTTCATTCTCGTATTTTTTGCAACTACAACGTACACTTAGATCATTCCGATTGAATACCACTATTCTTTCAGGTCCTCCATCATACCTCATGACCGCAAACTCCACAATCATCGCTGCATCTTGCTGTCTCAATATAACCATAGCTGTTGACTCGCCATATTCATTTTGGAATGCAACAAATACGGTTGGTGAATACGTCTCTGATGCATGCACAAGCATAGGTGTTTGCCTTAACCCGACCATGGGGAGCTTTTGCCTCATTTCATATTCTGCGATCAGTTCATTATGTCTCTTTTCATCAACCACCCGATTGAAATGTCTAAAGAACTGCACAAGGTCATGATCCAGTTTCAAATGATTTTTAATTGCTGCATTTAGGCTTTCGCTAAGTTGGGTGCTTCGCATTCCCGCGGTCCATCTTTCTTTCATCATGCACCTTGCCCATTTATCACGAATTCTATACAACCCAGAGAGCCATTCATTATTTTCAAGATTGTGTTTCTTCACCATCGCCTCCCACACCCTATTGAATTGTTCCACTTCTTCAAACTCATACATGCATGCACCAAACATGTATGGAAGATCACTATTTTCCTTGTAGTGATTGCCAAGATGTTTCATAAAATTACGCCTTATGTGAAACGTACATAGACCGTGAAATGTTTCAGGCATAACAACTGAAAGAGCGGCTGCCATGGCATGATCTTGGTCGGTTAGTATGGTACTTGGACGCTTTCCGCACATTGCTGCTAGAAATGTACCAAACACCCATTTGAAAGAATCTATAGTCTCATCATACATAAGGGCAGCACCGAATATCACAATTTGCCTATGTTGATTAAAACCCACAAACACTCCAAGTGGCCGGTATTCTTTATTTGTTTTGTAGGTTGTGTCGAATGTGACTACGTCTCCAAAAAATTTGTAGTCAATTAACATTCCTGCATCAGCCCAAAAGATATTCGTTATTTGCTCTTCACAGTCCAGCTGTACGGCATGAAAAAACGATGGATTCTCGAGTGTTTGCTCTTGAAAATAATTCAGCATGCTACCTGCTTCTCCATATTTCAAACTCCTTTCCCGTCGAGTACGAAGATATCGTTTCAGGTCTTCCCGAGTATATCCCACATTTCCCATCCCACCTGCCTCCTTTCCCATAAGCTCATGACTCTGTTTCAATGAAAGCCCAGCGTCCTCGCTTATTTCAGCTTGGAATCCTTGAGTCTCGCTCACTTTTCTTTGTGATGGCATCATGTGCGCACATTGAGCAATGTGCAACTCATGGTTATGCTCTAAGACAAGGTCATGCACACGGTACTTCATTGTTCCTCTAAACAACACGATAACCATTTTAGCTCCACACCCTGTTTTCGTCGGCGCTCGTGTCCTCTTTGGCATCACATCACCTTCGTACTTGCGCTTTACACCTTCCTTGCAGCAACTATATCTCCTAGACGTGGTCACGCCGTCTTTGTCTTTATTCAGATAGTCTTTACGTACACTAAAACCCATTTTAAAGGCATATTTGTTGTAAAACTGGTACGCATCCTCTTCGCTGTTGAACTCCATTCCTAACTCAGGGGTCCCATCTTCTGCCAATTTGCTGCAATCCATTACTTCTGATCCTGCCAATTATGCATCAAACACCCTAATTTGCAACACTTCATGAATAGTATGTACATAAACGACAACATATATGTATATTACCATTCATAATGTGTTATGAATCATACATTACTCGTATACCAAATTCTATTATTACGCTATCAATATGATTAATGATTCACATCACCTTACTTTTACTCTAACACAATCTGTGTACAAATACAACTCCATATACACTAAGTTATACGGATTGTAATGTATTGGTCACACGATGTAAGTCTATTTTAACTGTATGTACATCCACGCTGGTCATTATATTTTGATTCTAGATTCTTTAGCTCACTGGACCTTATGTCATTCGTTAATGACAACCGCATAAAATAGACTAAATAGTCTTTGTGTTTATTTAAATAATCTTTGCGTACACTAAATCCCATTTTAAAGGCATATTTGTTATAAAACTTGTACGCATCCTCTTCCATGTTGAACTCCATTCCTAACTCATGAGTCCTATCTTCTGCCAATTTCTCTACAATTCATTACTTCTGCTCCTACCAATTATGCATCCAACACCATAATTTACAATAGTTCATGAATAGTATGTATGTAAACGACAACATAAGTGTGTATTACCGTTTATAATATGTTATGTTACACACATTACTCGTATACCAAATTCTATTATTACTCCCATCGATATGATTAATGATTCACATCACTTTACTTTTACTCTAATACAATGGCATTATCTATGTACAAATATAACTCCATGTACACTAAGTTATACGGACTGTAATGTGTTTTTCACTCCATGTAAGTCTATTTTAACTATATGTACATCTACTCTGGTGATTATATTTAGGTTCTAGGTACTTTGTTTCATTGGACGTTATGTAATTCGTTACTGACAATCGCCTAAGCCAATTCCTGTGCATTTTCTACTATTTCTACATTTTCAGGGCCAAACAAGTATTTTTTACTCATTCTAATACATTTCTTACATCATGTAATTTACTTACAAAACCAGGTACATCTATTTATTATTCACATATATCTTTTCCTCTGCTTTTCCTAGGTCAAACCCCAGACTTCCATTTTATACACACTGCATACTCAACAGAGGGGCAAACTAAGATTGCGTGATGACCATGGACCAATTAGTGGATGCACAAAGATTGTAATAGGGTGGTTATAACCTGTAACTTATCTACAGCAGCATGTACATTCATTCACTTGTTAAATAGTTCATCACTGCAAAACTGCACGCTCTCACACACACATACAGTACACATTGACTATTCTTCTATTATCTTCATATTATGTCTTTACTGAATCTAACATTCAGAAAAGTTGCTGGTATAAGATTCACAAAGTTGTTGATATGGTTGAATCACGTTACCTTGGCCCGTTGAGAGCTTTTTGTTTCACCGAATGCCCTTATGCACAGTTGCTTCTGCTATTAAGTTGCACAAAAAATGGTGGGCAACGTCAGATAATGAATTTCCTCTTTAATTCGCTTCTACCTTGCCGGCTGTCTTGCCCGCATTGCTCATACAATTTCTGAAGATATCGTTGGCCTTCTTTTACAGCATTCTAACTGTTTGCCTTCTTCCTTCTTCTTCTGATGCCATAACCCAACTCTCTCCACCTAATTTCACGTCAGCCAAGCAACAATGACATACCCAACTTGCTTTCTTCTCTCGGTTTTGGTTTGTGCAGCTAATTCAAATTTTGAACTTTATTTTCAAAATTTCAATTCTTCCGTTTAGAGGAAACGGAGTCCGTCAATCTTATTTTTTTCCTTTCGTCAAATGGTGACGTTTTTTTCCTTCAAAACAATCAGTTGACGTGGTTTATTTCTGGCCTTACCTTTGTTTCTGTAGGGGACCGTTCAGGAGCGGTCGTCCTCAGAAGGACCGCTCCTGCCCCGTATCCCTCTGTTTCACATACACACTCTTCAAGAGGCAGGGAGGTTGCAGAGCAAGAACGCCAAGAAAAACATGGAGAAGATGAAGAGCGTAGCCCCATACTTGGGGATGGTAATAGCACAAACTGCTCAAGTAGGCCTAATTATTGTAAGCAAAGAAGCCATGTCAAATGGGATGTCCAAATACGTTTTTGTCACCTACTCCAACGCTCTTGCTTCCCTAATTCTCCTCCCCACTTCTTTTCTAGCCCACAGGTGTCTGTACCCAAACTCACATAAAGCTGCTTACTTTACAGAGGTTTAATATTTGTCTTATGACCCTTCAATAATTTTCCCTTTTTCTTCTATCTTTGTCGCTGCAGATCAAATAGGCCTCCCCTCACTTTCAAACTGGTCAGTGGGTTTTTCTTGCTGGGTGTTCTGGGGTATGTTTGATGTCAATTCGTAGACCTTTTATATCTTCATTGAATTTTTGCTTAAAGGAAAGTTAGTTTCACGAAAATAAGGTCTGATTTTTGGGACTATTTTTAGGTGCACTGCTCAGGTAACAGGATATGCTGGAATTGACTATACCTCTGCGTCATTTGCTTCTGCAATGCTCAACCTCATCCCTGGTTTCACATTTGTTCTTGCTGTAATTTTCAGGTTTTTCATTTTATACTTCGTGTTTAACTAGCTTGACCTGTGGGTTCAATTACTAGTTCCTTTTACATTTGCCAGCCTTGACTTGCATTTGGGGAAGTAGAATCAGAATGCTCTGGAAAATGGCTAAGGATGGGCCTCGTGAATACCTAATTTTACTTTTAAGACTTTTCTGCCTTGCTTCTTAGTGGATATTCAGAAACAAAGTTCAGAATTTTATATAGAAGACTCTTTTTTGGTTAAAAATAAGATTTGTCTTGGCTGGATATTGTATAGTTCTTTGGAAAAAAAAATTCCTGGATTCGTTCCAGAAAGTTTCAGGTGCTGGCTCAAAGGTGAAAATGTTACATGTGTTTCGCTAGTTCTTTTTATTTATTTATTTTTCAATCTTCCCCCACTCCTCTATTCCTCCCCTACCCCAGACCTGGCAGCCAGGATCAAACCCTGGTCTAGCAGTTGGGAGTTGAATAGAAATGATGTGGGATACTTTTGACCAAATTAACCAACTTAAAAATCCAGCCTTTTGAAGGAAAGATTATCAGCTTTACTATACTGCTTAAAGATCATTCTAACATGCATTATTTCAAGCTATGATTGTCGTAATCAGTTTTTTTTTTTTGGTTGATATTTTGGACATGAAGTTCAGACAAGGTTAATTGCTAACTTATTAATTCTTCTAAAATGACTGATTTTAGGATGGAGAAAGTAGATTGTAGAACCTCAAGTACTATTGCCAAATCAATTGGTACCATAGTGTCAATTGCTGGAGCCTTCATTCTGATTCTCTACAAGGGCCTCCCAATCCTGATGGCCTCATCATCTCCAATAACCCATTATGATCTTCTAAACCAGCAACAATCCAACTGGGTCTTGGGTGGACTTTTTCTTGCTATAGACTGTTTAGCGGCTTCAATGTTTATCATTGTACAGGTACGACACTAGTTGATAGGAAAATGAACACAAACATAATGGGAGTGACAGCAACATTTCTCCACATAATGGTTTTTTCAGGCACTTATCCTGAAGGATTTCCCAGCAGATTTGATCATGGTCTTCTTCTACTGCTTCTTTGTGGCCATTCTATCTGCAGGGATTTCTCTCGTTTCAGGTGACAAACTAAGTGCTTGGACATTACAACCTACTATGAGACTGCTTACTATTTTATACTCAGTAAGTGAATAAAGCTTCTCTTTCCATAAGTTGGAGAATCTTGCTTCTTCTCACTCATTCTTGTGGAATTGTTCATTTTAGCACAAGCTAACATGTCTTCTTAATTACCTAGATCATGGCAATTATCATCTGTCCTCTTCAGTTGCTTTCTGTGACTGCTTTGGCACTTATTATGAATGGTGCTAAATTTGACTATTTAGTCCGAAACAAGATATCATACGTATTCCTTAGGGGAACAAACTTCGTGTGCTTTATTACGTGCTGAGTTTGAGTGCTATGGTTGCTTATCGGGAATGGTATCCTGCAACGACATTTCATATAACTTGGTGGTTACCTTCCTCCTGTTATGTCTTTTCAGGGAATTTTTGGTTCTGCTCTACAAGTCAGTTTGTCTACATGGTGTGTTCACAAAAAGGGACCCCTTTTTGTTACTATGTTTCATCCCCTGGGCATAGTCATTGCAGCTGCCTTTAATATTATCATTTCAAAAGATGCTTTTTATGTTGGGAGGTATGCAAGATAAATTAACATCACATAACTTTTATGCAGGCCTTTTGAATGAATTTCAAAACTGTGCTAGTTGCTTATGTCTTTGTGTTGCTTTTTCCCCTTCTTTACAGATGCATATTTTTTACATTACTATTCTAAATTTTGCAGTTTGGTGGGGTCAATTCTTATTGTCATTGGGTTTTACTCTGTGATGTGGGGAAAAGCAAGAGAAGGGAAGGTTGTTGAGGACCAATTGCGAGGAAGCACAGTATTCAATGCTGAAAGTTCTCCCCTTTTGCAAAATCAAGATCCCTAAAGATTGAAGATTAGTATGTATCTATTGCCACAGAAGTAGAGGTATATACATTTTTGTTACTGCAAATAGGAAATTAAATGAGTAGAAATGACTTTAAGATCTATTAGTAGCTGCAACAATTTTTCCAACAATCGATTGTTTGATTCAGTGTTTCTTGCATTCTATGGGGCTGGGGTGAAAACTAGAAGTAATACATTAGAACCTGATATACAGCATATTCCCCGACTATTTGAAATCTTTTAGAAGAATAAGATGTTTCAAAGATACAGATTGTAGGCATTTTTTAGGAATGTGCTTAGCATCGATCACTAGTTTTCTTCTTATGTGATTGTGAGCTTACGCCAGCGTACTACCTTGGCTTGGGTATACGACCTATCTTGGCCAACGGACCAAGTAAAGATAATCTGATAATCCATTTTTGCTTTGCAACACTACAGGCTGCAGCCTAATGCTTTTTGCAAGATTTTATGCATCAGTTATTTCATGAGAATTCTAGCCAGAGTACTACTGATCCTAAGCTAACTAGCTTGTATTACATCAAACACTTCATATGTGTTATTTCATGACTCTTGCACTAACGTTGCTTTTCATATGGCACACTTGTATCAATAATTACACATGAGAAAAAAGGTTGAAAATTACTCCGGATTGCATCTTAAGATATCAGAACAGTTGATGTCATCTTGTAGCATTCCTAGCGGCACAGCCAGCACAAACTGAATATTAAGTCAACAAACCGAATATTAGGATTGGCTCTGCCAGCACAAACGTTTGGAGCCTCTAATAGGAAGAGGCACATTTATTACTTGCCTTTTAACCATCCATTATTAGTAAAGTTTCATTAATACTCCTTCAGATATCTGATTTTGCTTGCAGATATTCTTGAATCAAAGCATCTTTCTTAATCTCTTTACCTGTCTGTTCAATCCTTGGGACTGTAAATATGTAAAACCATTCCACCAGACTACTGATGGTCTCTCAATTTAAACCTGTCTTATGTTTTTCATTGTATTTAGTGAATGTTTGCAAGTTTCTCTTCCTACGTTTGCTCGCAGAATAAAGAAGTAAAAGCAGGTTTAGTACGTGTTGCATGTAGATCGTAAAAGACAATGAAGCTTGTGGAGCATAGAAAGCACTGTGTAGGAGATTCTTGCCTTGAAGGAGGCTTGTAGAGTTGGAGCCAGAAACTACCCTCTTGAAGGGAGTGCAGTGTGGAGGCCAATTGTGTATTTGTCCGTCTCGGCACCGTTTTAGGCTAGGGTCGTGGTAGTGCTTGGAGGGGGGCCTCCCCAGGATTCGAACCCTGGTCCTTTGGAGTAAGGGTCTTGGGATTGAAGTCCTAGTAGCCCAAGTGGTACCAGGACTTCAACCCCAAGACCCTTATCCCAAAGGACCAGGATTCGAATCCTGGGGAGACCCCCCTCCAAGCACTATCACAGCCCTAGCCTAAGACGGTGCCAAGGCGGACAAATACACAATTGGCCTCCACATGCAGCAATACGTAAAACCATCAAATGGAACCATTTGAGTTTTATCAGTGGGTGTGAGGCATCCACAAGTACAACACTATCGGCAGGAAAGCGGGATGGGGTCTTGTCAACAATGAACTTTATACCTGGATTACTTTGTCATCCTCTTCTTTTTTTTTTCCGCTTCCTCTTCTTATAAAGGAGGGAGCATTGTACATCAGTCGTATTTGATAAGGATTATCTAAAGAATTCTCTATTACCATTTCTGTGGTCTGATGAGCTCTGTGGTCATTCAAGTTCCGTTTGAAAATCAATCGAGTTTAGGCCAGCAATTTAGTCTTGACTTGGTTCGAATTCGCAGTAGCTTAAAGATATTTTAGGGGTTCAGAAGGAGTGCTCAAGAGCCCGATATGGCCAATCAATATTCAGTCCAAAAAAACAGGCGATGAGACGTTGACATTGTGTGTATCATGCAATTGCAAAGGGATTTTCGTTGACTGTAAATGAAAAACAAAAAGGAAGGAAATCACCATGCAGTTTGACATTGGATCTCTCATAAGGGCCCAAAGAATTTGTCTGTCCAACTGCTATATGGGCATTTGGAGGAGATCCACTAATGGACTAACCAAGTAAGAATTTCTTAAGAGCGGAAAAAAAAAAAAAGAAAAGCAATAATTCAAAAACCTTCTTCCTTGAGGTTTCTAACAGTTTCACTTGGCATCTTTAAATTTAAAAAAATTTTACTTGGCTATTTTACTTTAAACCTTTTGTAATATTTGAAACCCATTTCAAAATATAATATCATTTTGGGAAAGAGAATACAATTTGATTCCAAATTTGCCCTTTATGTGATTTCTTAATCGTCATAACACATTGGATTTATTGCTTAACTTTCTAAATTGATCGATGTAGTTCTTTAATGAAAATTCAAGAGTTGATAACAAGATTGAAAGCCACTTTAACAGTTTTTGTTTCATTGGTTCAGACAAGAAAGTTTAAACTACTTAAAATTATGAATGATTTACAATACTTTTAAAAGTAACTTGCAATAATTTACAAATATGAGAATACCTCTTTACACCAACTTAAAAGCCATACAAACAAGTTTATAAATAAAATTTTGCATGTTGTATCTTTTTAGTTGTCAAGCCATCGATTTGGACAAAAAAATTAGAAAATTCAAAAAATATGTAAATGATTTATAAATTAACTCAAAACACCATACAATAAAGAAAATATTATCTCTGTAACTTGCAAAAATTTCAAATAAACTTTCAAATATATACTCTTGGTATTTAAAGAACATACTATATTTTATCCCATCAAAATAAACTTTTATACTTTTTATTTTTCATTCGTTATTAATATACTTACATTTTGGTAATAAAAAAGAATGACAGCAAAAGGGAAAATTTGAAATAAAATTATATTTACACTCCCAATATAAATTTTTTAACATTATATTTTAAAATGGGTTGTAATGATATAGAAAGCTTAAAGTAAGCGAGGCAAGTGAATTTTTCAAAATATTAGGGTACCAAGTGAAACTATCAAAAATTTTAGGGGAGGTTTTTGAAATTATCCAAAAAAAAAAAAAAAGCAATTTCTTAGAGCCATACCAGTCACCGAAGTGTTTTCAACTTTTCTATTACCTCCATACACGAAGGTAAAGAAATTTTATATTGGTCCCGCAAAATGCAGGGAGTTTTACGTAAGCAAAGGGACCCCGAAAAGTTTATACAATGCTTATAGCTGGGCCCTAAGATGTTCTAAACCACAAGGTTATGCAAATCGAAATCTTAATCTTCACAGGTGCTGTTAGTTAGAACCCAGTGCAATAATCTACGTGTTCTGGCTCGGCAGCTTCCTGTTTCTTTAAAAAAAATTTCGGGGACGATTTATTCTTTTTACTACTCATTCTACTCCAAAAAGGACAAGAAGCAAGAGAGATAAAAGCAAGATGAATTGTTGGGGAAATAATTAGTTTATGTTTGTTTTTCATCTCCATCATACCTTAGATGGGGTCACTCCACTCGAGTCGCTCGTTCACTTCGCCAAAGTACCTTCACACTTGCATGAAGGGTTAACTTCTGCAGTTTTGTGTCCCTCCCCCACCCCACTCCGAGACCAGAGAGCCACCATAAATGAGAGAGGGACTGAGAAGAAACAGCTAGCCACCTTGAGAAAGAAATAAAAGAGAGAGATCAGAGAAATGGGAGGCATGAGGACTGTGTTGGGTGAAGCAATACCGTCCACAGTGATGTTCATAATGGAGTTTTGCACTATTAGCTTAACCATCATGGCGAAAACAATTATCTCAAGAGGGATGAGCCCTTTTGTTTTTGTTGTTTATACTAATGCTCTTGGCTCAATCTTGCTTCTTCTATATTCGTGCCTATGTTATAGGAACCAGTATGATCTCCCACACTCTCCCCAGTAGCTTCCTCCTAACACTGACACACACACCCCATCGGGCACATAGAACAACAGCACACTGCATGAACATCAGAATCATGAACACAAGATTCATATTCACCTTAGCTTCTTCTTTAGTTATTCTCGTTTGTCGGCAGATCAGAGCAGCCGTTGCTCAGCTTTCAACTCCTCCCACGTGTTTTCCTCCTTGGCCTAATCGGGTTTGTTTCCCTGCTCACTCTCTTTATCCCACAATCCATCTTTTACATGCTCAGACTGCAAGGAAGTTGGAGTATATATAATTGTATGAAAAAATGTAAATTAATTTAGAGAATGGAGATTTTTATTTCATGCAGATGTTACCAGGCTTATAAATGGTAACCATTTTCTGAGTAGAACTTCCTTCAGGTGCTTCTACATATGCGAAGAATTGAAACGAAAATCGGCACTTTTCTCAAAAATAAGAAAAAAGAAAATGAGATCTGCAAAAAGGGCTGTTCCTTGATTTTATTATCTTCAAATAATTGTGGTCGACTTTAACTTGTGGTTAATTGCACCTGGCAGGATAACTGTAGCTCAAAACCTTGCATTTCTTGGACTAAGCTACGGTTCTCCCATTGTTGCATGTGGCATGGGCAACTTGATCCCGGCTTTCTCCTTCATCCTCGCTATAATAATCAGGTAATTAAGCTTATAACTATTCTCTCTTTGATTTAATTTAATGTCTTCATCAGATATTCCAATCCAAAATATTCTAACCCTCGCCTGGCGCTGTGGTTGGTTAACATCAAGGAAACAATAAGTGCATCAATCATGAAACAGCCAGCTATAAAGAATATAAACAATAAAAAATATAAAGGGGAAGAAAAGAATATAAAGAATCTTCAAGGCATCCGCGTTTGGCCGGGGCATCTTTGGTCGAACCAAAAAGTATTGTTAATATAAGCTTAGTCAAGATTCATCCCTCTGGGATATTCATTGCAGATTCAGTTGCCTGGGGACAAATTTTGGGGTGGGGAATATGGATTTATGGTGAATATTCTTACAAGGAACGCGTGGTGTCTGGTGGGTTTAATTTGTTGCGCCTTTGGCATTTGCTTACCATTACAAAACAAGAAATTAATGGTACAATAATAATAAATAAATAGCTGAGAGAGGGAATGATGAAATGGCTGACTCAAAAACTCGACAATAATTCATAGGGTGGCCCGCTTTAATGAATTTAAAGCAATTATTTTCGAGCTTTTGTTTGGTAGTTTGGCTAAGTGAATTCATCGGCACAGAAGAAAGGAAAATGATTGGAAAAGCTTGAGCAGTCAAGTGAAAGCGATTGGCACCGTGATTTCATTTGTGGGAGCAGCATCGGTCGCTCTCTATAAGGGCCCTGTGGTCAAGCAGTCTCCGCTGCCCTCATTTTCACTGCAGCTAATTCCACCGCCACTTTTAATCTTTTCCTCACCGCAGGATGAGAATTGGATTCTCGGTTGCGTTTTATTAGCAGCTGCTTCATTAGCAATTTCAGTTTGGAATATTATTCAGGTACATACATACATGTGCAAGCACTAGTAACCTCGCTATTTTCTTCTTTGTCACTTCTTTTCTTTCTTTTTTTTTTCCCCCTTTATAAGCATTTTTCCATCACTAAAAGATGATACACGAGACCTTTTGTGTGGACCTAGCTAATTAAAGATTTAGGGCCGTTTGATGAAATTGAAGTTCGAAATCTGAATTCTAAAAATTAAGTGCTGAATTATTTAAATTACACGTGTTTAATATCTAACTAGATTACAATATTGAATTGAAATATCGCACAAATAATGTGTTTCTACTTTCAAAAAAAAATGATCTTTATTTGTGTATTTGGAGAAAAACAAAAATTTGCATATGTGTGGAAGAGAGAAAATAATAAAATAATTTAGAGGTAGTGTTTTAAATGTGTGTATTTATATATAAGAGTGTGTGTGTGCGCGCGCGCGTGCATACGAGTGCATCGAATATAAAGAAAACAAATCTGTACCATATGCAAGAATAGTATGAGAATGTGTTATGAGTGTGTGAGGTATAGTATGTGTGGTGAATTCAAAAAAAAAAATTCAATGAAACTTTTTTACTGAAAATTTTGTATACAAATCAAGAGTGCTTAATACATTAAGTGGTAAGGCATTTATGTTATCAAATATGCTGAATTTAGAAAACACCAAATGAATTAATTTGCAATATAAAGTAGAGTTATCAAACAGACCCTTAATGGGTTGGTTCTCGGTTGTTATATTTTAATTATAGAATTTGATTTTAAAAAATCAATTTTTATGATGTTAGCGTTTGATTTTGTGTTCAGATTATAGATTTGTTTAATAGCTAAAAAAAAGCTAAAATGCATAATCCATCAAAGATTAACTTTTACTGATTTTAATTATTCTCTATAATTATTTTCCATAATCAATTTTACAAAATCTAAAGCAACGAGAACAAAGCCAATATTACTATCGCTAATTTATATAATGTAGTAAGGTGAAATCCATCATCTATATATTCTCTCTAACAATTAAGCTTATACTAGTATACGCCAAATTTGATATCCATAGATGTATTTTTAACTGCCTTTCTTTCTGTCTTGCTACTAAACAATTGATCACATTAGATTGTAGTTATATTTCTTTTTTTTTTTTTTTTTTTGTTGTTGGGTCAGGTGGGAACTGTCGAAAAGTACCCACAAGTCATGAAAATAGTTTCTTTATATAGCTTAGTCGGGACCCTCCTGTCTGCCATACTTACGGTAATCATAGAAAGAGACGTCGATGCTTGGAAATTAAAGCTTGACATGGAGCTTCTCGTTATTATTCTAACAGTAAGTGTATTTTTTTTTAACATTTGCATCTTCCAAATCACATTTTATTGCATATTTTTTTAGAAAATTCCTGCCAATCATGCAAATATTTTGATGCATGTTTACAGGGCATTTTTGGGAGTGTAATCCGCAGCAGCGTCCACCTCTGGTGTATGCAGAAAAAAGGCCCTCTTTTTGCTTCTATATTCAAGCCAGTGGGAATTCCCATTGCAAGCATGTTTGGCTGTTTCCTATTTGCAGATACATTTCACTACGGGAGGTAGTACGTAGCTTCCTCTGTTTACCTTTACACTTTATTTTTTTTTTCCTTTTTACCCCTATTTATTCCCTTAATCTTTTAAACGTATAACGAAAAATTCTTGTTTATTGGCGGAAGCCGAGAACTAGAGGTGCTATCGAGCCGAGTCAAGCTCGAGTAGCACCATACTCGAGCTCGAGCTCGATCAAAATTTGTGCTACTCGAGCTCAATCGAGTAAAAAAATTTGGACTCGAGCTCGACTCGATGAAATAAAACTAAACTCAAGCTCGACTCGTTTGAACTCGAGTAAATATCAAGTCCGAGCTACTCGAGCTCGAGCTCGAGTTTTGAAATAAATCTATAATTTTTTTTAAAAATATAATATAATATAAATATATAATATAAATAAAATATGAAAACTCGATTAAGCTCGACGAGCACTCGAGTATTTATTTCTTAAGTTCGAACTCGACTCGTTAAATTTAGCTCGAACTCGATTTTACTGAGCTCGAGTCAAACTTTTGATCAAGCTGCTCGCGAGTAGCTTGACTTGCTAGCACCCCTACTGAGAACATGTTTGGACTACAAGCTTTTGTAGAAAAATATATATGTGAGTTAAGAAAATGATTAAAAAATATGCCGAAAAAATTTTGTTTTAAAACTCGTTATCCAAAAAAGGAGCAAAGAAAAAGAATGTCAGTGGTATCTTCGCTCTTTATTTGCTTTGTACCATATAATTTGCTAGTAGACGAAAAATTACGTTGGAGATTTCATGGGTAAGTTACTGTAGATAGATGGGTGCAGAGCCGCTAAAATTTAAATTACAAGGAAAAAGTTCAGAGCAACATTAATGAAGAAGTATCATGTAAGATCAAGCGTTTAATTTCACGAGAATTTTTAAAACAAGTGTTTATATATTTAGATTACATTTAACTTCACTGTTTTCCATTTTATATTTGGCAATTTTCCAAATTAATTGTATTTTTAAAGATTAATATATAATGTCTCACTTAACAGGAGTCTCTTTTAACAAGTGACAAGTAAACACCCAACCTTAGTACAAAAATTCCAAAAAAAAAAATAATAATAATTAGCATTTTGTGAATCCGTAAATCTTGAAAACCCTCTTCTAAATTATTATTAGCATAAAATAATTTTTGTTATCCACACATATATCGAGTTAAGTGAATAACGTGATCAGGGGCGGAGGGAAGGGGGGGCAACCGCCCCCCCCCTCCAATTGTTAAAAAAAAAATTTCTAAGTAAAAAAATTTTTATCAGAAATTTTTTTTATTGTTTTGCCCCCCTCAAATATTGATAAAAATTTTCACTTTGCCCCCCCTCCAATTGTTATAAAAAAATTTCTAAGTAAAAAAAATTTTTCTTATATTGTTTTGCCCCCCCAAAATATTGATAAAAAATTTCACTTTGCCCCCTCCTAAGGACCCAAATAATAATGTTTGAAAGTTATTTGGACTTTGTCCAAATAACAGAGACTCGCCCCCCTAATTACAATTCCTAGCTCCGCCACTGAACGTGATCGTGCAGCATCATAGGAGCTTTGGCATGCGGATTGGGTCACTACACCCTGATCTGGGGACAAATCATGGGTTATGATGAAGCGGGCATTAAAAACCACAAGAGCAGGAGTTCTCCATCTGATGATCAGAAGACCCCGCTTCTGCAGCAGGAAGACTCACAAGTATGAAGAGTGGCGGCTAAGTAGCAAAACTGGTACAGAAATCAAACATCACTGCAAAATTAATTAATTTTTTTTTTTTAACAAATCAATCCTGTTGGAAAGGTGTATTTTGGAAACACAAAAAGGTACAAGTGGAACAACAATGAACATGTTTGTTGTTCATCGTTTCCTATTTCTATTTTTTTTTTTTTTAAAAACCGAAAATAGAATAGGTCTTTTCTTTTCTTTTCTTTTCTCACAAGTGGTGGGAAATTCAATTCTGAAGCTTGTAAATGGATGTATCATATGCCCAGAACTGTTGTACAAAGAAGAGAAAGATTGTATAAAAGAATTTGAGGTGATTTTGGTTCCATGCATTTGTTGTGGAGAAACAAGTAGTAAGGGCATAATAATCAATTACCAATTCAGTGATACGTAAACCTTCCTAATTAAGATAGATAATGGTATTTGTATTTCCTAATTAAGTACCATAATCATCCATCAAAGATCAACCATTGGTAAATGTTTTTACTTTTATTACGGGTAGAATTTGTAACCCGAAGAAGCATGTTGTAGCTATTAGTATAATTGATAAAGAATTCCAATGGGTTTGTTTCCCAAAAAAGGAAAGATATATGGTCGGATTAAAACATTGATGGAAAACAGAGAGTACTGAAACCTTTTACATTAAAAAACACCAAAAAAAAAAAAAATTACATAGTAGTTGTCTTAATAATATTATGGCAAACTACTACATAATGTGACAGCAACATTTAACTCGTACACTGCAAGGGGTTATTTTTCAGAGAAAGGAAAAAGAAAAGATTTCAGGATTATTGAACGGACCGGACCATACGAGAGAGAATAATTCCATTTATGCCTTGAGGAGATAAGCATCGAGTTCTTGGAAATTCTTGGCTGCAAAATCCTTGATGATGTCCGGGTTTGGAATTTCATCGCTTGTCTTCTCAAACTCACAATCCCATTTCACCGAGCTCCCATCACCCTTTGCACTCACGACCAGGGTGGGCTTGAAGAGCTTGTAGAATTTCAAGAGATCCCCCTCGATCACACTGTACCTGACAGTTTTGTTCCCTTCGTCGACAAACTCAATCTTCTCCTTCGAGAAAGTAATTTCCGGGGATCCTATGCAGCAGCAGATTGATATTAAGAACTTTCAGTGACATTTATTAATCTAAGTAGATGGCATATTCTCCAAGAAACCGCCAGACCAGGATTCTGCAGTTAATCGCCTAGCAAAATACATCCCTCCTATAACAATGAATGAATAATATATACGAACCAGGGAAGAATGACATAATGTGCCGAGATGACCATTAAGTTCATGATGTATAATTAACAACCATTATGGAGTTTAATCAGTGAACATACCATGCAATTGTGAATAAAATAAGACCAAATTTAGCCTTTTAGCATTGACCAATTATTAATTACTCCATGAAAAGCGTCTGGTCCGGTCCCTATAAAACTTGGATTTGGGAAACAAGCTAAAAAGACGAGCAGACAGGAATATCCCAAGAGTTGTCCTACTTATTATTTACTGCTAACATATAAGTCGACCGCTTAATTACCTTCAGCATACTTGACCAAACGAACAGAGCCAACTGATTTTCCATCACCTTCAAGAACCTCAATGCTCCTGTACTGATTAGGGCAGGCCTTGGGGAAAAGAGCAACGGAGTCCATGATGGCATCCCAGAACTTATCTGCTGAAGACTTGACCTCCACTTCCACATCTAGTTGCGCTGCCATTCTCGATTCTTGTTGTTTGTGTACTAGTAATTGATATGACTAACAGATAGAGAAAGTGAAGAGCAAGCTTTAGAGGACTGAAGAGCTGTGCAAGAACCTTGGTGATATATGTATATATATATATATATATATATATATATAGAGGCAAGTACTGAAGTCAATAATGTCTTGAATGGCCCCCATTTTCATACAGTATTTGCCATTAAAAGCTAGCCGTCTACTTCATCTGCCACCACTCACCAGTCACCAGCGACCAGACCATGAGATTTGCCACACACTTCCATGCCATCCTAGCAGTAACAACATGTACTCCATTTATTCCTTTTCGGCAACCGTTACCATTCAAGGCTTACTAATTAATGGTAATGGGTGAATTATAAACCTGTCGAGTGTTTCTTTACGTTACGTTTCTTCAGTTGTAACAATGATGGTGTCTACAGCCAGTCTTCTGGCTGAATAGGGAAAATTTTCACAGGGCAATTTGAAGCAAGACGAATAATTCAAGTAAATGAAAATGACGTACAACACCAATCCATCTATGACATAAAAAAAAAATTCCTGATTTATTTTGTCCTTCCGTTATGGTTGGTCTACTCTTCTCTTCTCTTCTAAGCACTGGTTCTAAGGAGCTTCCTTTCCTGAGTCATGGGCACGCACGTTATTCTTTGTGAACAGCAGTTAGAAAAGAATCCGTTATGAGTCAAATCTGGAAGAAACATCCATCCCAAACGTCCGTCCAAGTCATTAACCAAAACAGTTGAAACTCTTCAATTTTTCCATTCAAAGGGAGCATTGAATTCCTCATGGGCCTCTCATCGGTATGGGTTTGGGAAATTCATTTTTATTACCACAGCGGTCCGCCCTTTCAATAGTGCCACTGCCAGGCCAGCAGATGTGAAATAAAGATGCCCACAAAAGTGGGTAGACGCAGAGTGGAGTCCCACAAATTAATGTCTCTGCGGTTCTTTTTTTTTTTTTTTTGGCTTAGAAATTAAAAGAATTCACTACTCTCTGAGGCAATCTAGGATGAGCATCCACAAAGGTAGACCACTTACGTTATCTCTTCGCGGGACTAAAATTAGATTATGCTGATAGTTTATGGGACGCTTGAATGGATTGTTTATTTAACGGATAACACGACGATAATAGCGATAGAAATGTAAACTCTCTCCAAAATAGAAAATATTAAGCAGGGCCGGGCTTTATAGTACACCAATCCATACGCGGCCTCAAGCCCAAATCGCTCAAGCCCAAGCAAAGGCCCATAGCTAACAACAATCAAGACAAACAAGGCTCAACAGCATGGAAATAACTAGTGCATGGAAATAACTGTTGAAATCCGATTCTGCATTTTAGATATTTTGTTTTTCTTTTTTAAGATGCCCTGTTGGATTTTGAGTAAACTTTTTCCAAGATACAGTTGTATTCTTTGGGTTAGAATTTAAGCTGACGACGGTAGGTAATGAAAGAGGTATAATGTTTATTTTATTTATTTATTTTTTGTTTATGATTGCTGGAAGCAATTAATCCAGAAAGTCATGCAGAGAGAGGCATCAAAGTTTCATGCCGTGCTTTGGTTGAATCGGATATGTCCTCCATATCTTAAACAAACACACAATGACAATATATTAGGGTGCCATTTTTCGGAAAAAAAAAAAAAATTACACATCTTCCGATTACCTTTTTACCTCTCATACATCAAATCGTTACAGTAATTTTTCTACAAAAAAAAATACAATCCAAACAAGGCCTCAGTTTCTCACACGACGACTCGCCAACAATTGTCATGAACGTCCTTTTTCAAACCACTAACAGCATATAACAGCCCTTTTCTTGCTTACTAAATTCTAATTGCAACACAGGTAAATCATATAAAAGATTAGAAAGTAATCAAAATGAAAAGGAAACAACAACAACAATCTTTTCGCAAGTCACACAAAATCACAAGGAGGTGAGGCTGCGGCTCCTCTTTCCTTTTCAGAGGTACCTCCCTTACCCCACCACACCACACCACCCCCCTCTATCAAAGGCAAGCAACCGGTTTGGCCATTTTATTCATTCCTTTGTTTACTTTTTCTTGTTCATCAAGTGAGATTTGCAGGTTGTTGGCTGATTGGTATTACTACACTTTTTTGAGTATTTCTCAAAGCTAGTCTCTCAGTTCGGTTGCTTTGTACGTACTCCTACAGGATTCTGATGCTACATAGTATCAAATTCTGCTTATACTTAATATCCTTCTCCAATTCTCTCAATCTGTATAATCAGCACGACTCCGGTTCAACACCAACCAGTCTATAATGAGGTAATGACCATCATCTTAACTTCTCTTCCTCCATATTTTTGCGAGCCAGCTTTGTAAGTTCTCATTCTCCTTTTCCTGTTGCATAGCATAGACTGCCATGAGTATAGCCCTTCACTCTTCAACTGAATGCGTGCTTTATTCAATCCACAAACTGGAGATCATCTTAAGCAAGAGTTGTCATGCCGTTCGGTTTGGTTTCAGCGTGGAATAAGCGCCGCAGAAGCAAGTCCGAGGATCACATCAATCCTTGTATGTTTCAGTTTCTAATGTCTCGTCTTCTTCTACTCCTGTTGCGTTACAACTTAGTTGTTGCACCCATGCAATTCACTTGCTTTTTTTGGCGATCAATTCCTTAATTTCTGCTTTCCCTTTTTCAGGGGTATATAAACCGGTGGAGTGTTGGAAAATTGACGGCAGCGCTCCACCTGCAAAAAGACACCATGGATCAGCAGTTTTCACGCTTAAAGAAATGGAAGAGGCAACACATTCTTTCAGTGAACAAAATCTACTTGGGAAAGGAGGATTTGGTCGAGTCTACAAGGGTACTTTACGGTCTGGAGAGGTATATTTGCTAAAACATCAAGGAAAAATTCTAGGCAAAATTACTCGTGGACATCCATAGTATATGCATGTTTTTTCACGTAAAATTGGTAGTCCAATTAGAGTTCCATCTTTCAAGTTCACAACAGTAGTTGAAAACAATTGAAGAAAGAGGAAGACCAAAGGGTATGGTTTATAAGAATATTTTTTTTTCAAGTCACAGATTGTAGCAATCAAGAAAATGGACCTACCGTCATTTAAAGCAGCAGAAGGGGAACGCGAATTCCGGGTGGAAGTTGATATCTTAAGCAGATTGGACCATCCCAATCTTGTATCTTTAATAGGCTATTGTGCAGATGGGAAGCATAGGTTCTTGGTTTATGAATATATGCCACGAGGGAATCTGCAAGACCACTTGAACGGTTTGTTTGTTTGTGAATTCTGCACTACTTCTCAAACTTTTGTGCTTGAAGATGTATTAGTCTTACAACAGCTTCCAGGTATTCGAGAACTGAAGATGGATTGGCCTTTGAGACTCAAAGTGGCTCTTGGAGCAGCAAGAGGACTTGCATATCTCCATTCCAGTTCTGCTGTCGGAATTCCTATTGTACACCGAGACTTCAAATCAACCAATATCCTGCTAGACAACAACTTTGAAGCCAAGGTACATCTGCTTCATAAAAATCTCCAAAAGATTCCAGCATGATTTGTAGGAAGTGCTTTTATGATATAACAATTGTTGTAAGTTCTGGCGTTTTTGCAGATTTCAGACTTTGGACTTGCAAAGTTGATGCCAGAGGGCCAGGAAACCTGTGTAACAGCAAGAGTGCTGGGTACTTTTGGCTACTTTGATCCAGAATATACGTTGGTACGTATCCATAAAGACAAAGGATTACAAATTTTATCTTCTATCCTCCATAAATGAAAATAGGAATTTCTCTTCATTATATAAGATATCAGCACTAGAAAACTAGAACTCGAGATTTTTCTGATTTCTCTTCTATCAACACTAGAAAACAATAGGCTTTAACCACTTCATGTTCATAATTCCTGTTTCAGAACTTAACGCCACAACCATTTAAACAAAAACTTGGAAGATACTTTCAACCGATCAAAAGATTGAAAAAAATAAACTAGCAGCCTTGCAACAGTTAAATTCTTTTAACTGCATAATAAAGTGTTCCGAGACAAACCCTAACTGTTTATTTTCACTTACAAACGCATCATGCAAAAGCACACAGAAGTGCAATTAAAAGGAAGAATAAGCAGAAACAGAATTTCAGAAGCCAAGTAGGAGGCAATTATTGTGATTATTCGCTTATCATCTTCTTTCTTCTTTTCTTATTTCCCCATTGCCCCCTCTAATTTTTTGTTTCTTGGTCCAAAGGGAGACTCCAAGCCTTGTTCTCTTTTCTTATTTCACCATTCCCACCTCAATTACAAAAACATACATTTAAATTAGCAATTCTGTTACAAGGATGTTTTATTTATTTTCCGGTCTTTTGTATACAGATTAATGCAGTTTCCCCTGCCACCTTGATCTTATGTATCTGCGTTTTTTCTACAATGAACAAGGGATTTACACCTTTCTTTTTCCTTCCTTTGAAAACTTATGAGATAAGAAAGTAATACTATCAAGGGTTGGTTCTTACTTGGTTTCATTAATTGGCAACAAGGACTGAGCCTTGGATCTATCTACCTTGGCAACAGACAGGAAAACTCACTTTACAAAGTGATGTTTATGCATTTGGAGTGGTTCTGCTAGAGCTTTTGACTGGACGGAGAGCAGTTGACCTGAACCAAGGACCAAATGATCAGAACTTAGTACTGCAGGTAACAGCAAATGCTCATTGTCATGGTCATGACATGACAAAAACAGTTCAAAATATCTCCATAAAAGCCTAATAGCTGCTTCATGGGTGCTGCAGGTTAGGCACATATTGAATGATAAAAAGAGGTTGCGCAAGATAATTGATCCAGATATGAGCAGGAATTCATATACAATGGAGTCTATAGCCATGTTTGCTAGCCTTGCATCACGCTGTGTACGAATTGACAGTACTGAACGGCCCTCAATGATAGAATGCGTTAAGGAGCTCCAACTAATTGTCTACACAAATTCAAAGGGACTAGGGATGACACTGCATACTTTCAGAATGATTTAAACAAACAACAATCTTTTTCATACAAAAATTAGAGATGCATCATGATACACCGTGTAAATGATCTTCCAGCTAAGAAGACTGTACTGCAACCTAGAATCTTCAAAGTTCAAGAAATTCTTAAGATTTTTACAAGCAACCCTCAGTTTATTGATTGGTCATATATGATAAACATACTCATAGGTGTCTGAAGGAAGATGGTATTTTTATAATTTAATGACTCAAAAAGAGTTTCTGATAGACAGCCGGAAGCATCAGGTGTCATATTTTTCCTTCTTTTTTTTTCCTCTTTTAGCTTCACCATTTTCTGATAAGGTATTTCTCTCGTGTAATTTGAAGATTTGTACAACAATGTGAATAAAATCTGAGACATTGCTCGTCTTTTCCTTATGTATAATAGAGAACTATTCCATAACATCCTTTCACGGATTGTCATGGGAAACAATATTGAAGTGAACTGTATTAACCTTCAAACAGAAGTACATAATATCCTTCTATGAAATATATGGACCAGAAGAGTTAACAAGAGCTATCGGCTTCCAAATAGTTCGCATATTGTCACTTGCTTTATAGGTTCCACAATGTTCTTCAGGTTGTCCAGAGAGTAGTTAAACAAGTTCAGCAGTAAATAAGAAGTTTACAGGACTGGAGTTTCACATATGAATGGTAGATTTAACATGTTAACAAGTTCAAGAATCCAGGTTTCACTTGCTTGTCAGCCAGCAAGCAGGAAAGAGTAAAAAAGAAACATGCTCTAAAAGCAAACAGCTCGTTTGACAAGAATGTCAGAATAAAGTTTAGTGGAAATAGCTATGAGCAAAAGGTTGAAACTCAATAATAAAATCATCAAAAAGTCAGCTAGGAAAATCTAGTTGGCCTTCCAATCTAAACCTATCTAATGATTATCATTATCAAAATTAAAGCAGGCAATAAATGCAGAATCAATTAAAGAAACCAAAAAAAGAACAAGTAGAGTCACCTGAACAGATTTTAATCATATAATAGAGTTATGTTACAAAAGGTCCGATGACTTACAAGCATCTGCCAGGAAGATGCAATTATAATTTCAATAACAGCAAGCAAAAGCTAGGGAAAGAAACCAAGTATGCACGATGGGTTTCTCTAACGAAGGCAATTAAGTCGGAACGCTTTAATACCTCAAAAAGTACAAAATCATTTTGACTCTCCATTTACGAATAAGGTTCCTGGCTGTAAGTATCCATTTCAGAAGGGCTAGTCAAGACTGGAATTTGCTTGCACATCAAGTGTTTACGCCTCTGCAATGTCAGCAGGACTAAGATGTTGTCTGTCCTGACAATGCTATATCCTGCTTTTATGTACATATTCAAAGGAGCCTCATCAATCATTCTACAGTGTAAGTAAACATCCCTCGAGGAAGTCATATGAGCAATCAATTCCTCACTTGCTTTCAATAAATGCCATCCAATGCCCCTCCTGAAAATTTGAATTCAACTTTCACTCACAATAATGTTGAAACAATTAAGTTATAGTCATCAAACAACAGCAACACAACACAGCAAGACACCGATGCAATGGCAAGACAAATGAAACTAACAGCCCCCAGGATATACTGCTTATCTTTGCAGTGCAAGTAGGATATGCAAAGTTGCTGCCTTAATGCAGACGGTAAAGTTTAAACATTTGTCAATATAAGGTGCAAAAGGTCTTTCAAAATTCAACACGTACTCAGAGGAAGTCAAGGAATATCATTTACTGGAGAAACCAATCCCATTGTGTTGGTGTTTTTACACAGGAACACCTAACCCTTTCTAGCTGATATTTCTTTTTTTTTTTTTTGTTGAAAATTACGAAATTATACAGACAACAGGGGAGAAATACTAAAAAGTGAGTTTCTCTGCTGCCCTCCATGGATGGTTTGTTATAAATTTTCTGTCATCCACATATAATAGAAAGAGTAACAATTTAAAATTTCAAAGTTATACCTTCTAAGTGACTCCTTTACAGTCATATTGCTTATATATGGAGAATTTTTGGGAGGAGTAGGTGTAGGAGGAGAAGCATTAGCACCCTTCTTGTTGAAACACACCTCAACTGTCCCAGCTAACTGTAAATCCTCCTCTTCATCCTCCTTATAGAAACCGACTAGTGTTGCAGTATGAGGCATTAAAGTCCTCCTCTCAATCAGATACTGCTTCACCAAATACTCCAAGAATCGGACATACCCTTTAGGCAACAACATGGATTCAGCAAAAGTCTCGGACAATAAACTAACCGTCATATCCATTTCTTCTTGATCCATCATTCTTATGTACAAAAACCCAGATTTTAATTCCTGAAAATACCTATAACTCTCAAGAAACTGAAGCTTTTCAAGCTCTTCATTAGTAAGAAATCGCCCTGTTTGAAGTGCATTCTGGAGGGTCGGCGTAGAAGAGGTGGAAGAAAAAGAAGATTGGGAGGTCGAAAGTGGGAAGATGATATTGAACGCTGTGTGTTTAGGGAAGACGACAAAAGGGTGTGTCCTTTTTGGGGTAAAGATTGGATTTTGATGAGTTCTGAAGTGAGGGATGTGATAGAGGTTGTGGTGGGAATGAGGCTGGGTGCCCAAGTATATGGGAAGATAGGATGTGGAGGCGATTGCCATTGAAGAAAGAGCACTTAGAAGTTGCAGAGTTGAGATTGATTTTGCAGTGGAAAGGGAGATCAGATGAGGTATGGAGTCTGAAGTCTGAACTGGACAAATGGATAGACTTCTGTAGCAGCAAATATTAATCAATCCTTAACAATAGGCAGCGGGAGGTTTTGCTAATTCAGTAAATTCCATGTTCTTTATTATCAAATTGTGGATTCTTCTTATAAATCAAAAACAGGTTTGTTACATATAAATGCACTATAGGGTTCTCCTTAAACCTATTATGGAAACGTCCCAGAGTTTTTCTTGTTCTTTTTATTTTATTGTTTATTTGGATGACCCCATGGGATTTTTTTTTTCAATTTTTTTTTTATTTTTGTCATTTCCTTTACCGCATCAAACAATTCGGAGTTTTACTGCTTTACATGAGCAAAGAGAGTACTCAGACAACTGAAAAGAGGTCAGCAGAACTCCATTTCCATTCCTTGTTCTTTTTTTTTTTTCCAGCATTTGACCTATTGGCATGCAGAATAATTAACCCACAAATACGTGATCTTGCTCCTTCTTATTGTCCTCTTAAATAGTTCCTTGACCTTTTCACATCTCCTTTTGGCTTTTGTATGCCGGCTCAAAAGCAAAATCATCCAAATGACAAAAAAAAGTGGTAGGCAAAATACATGGTACATGACGCTTCGCTTTCGTGGGTTACATGGAGAATGTAGTGAACCATTATAATCACTGTATCTTTCTATCCCTATGTAAATGTTATTTCACCTTATGAGGAGGCCAGGAGCATGTTAAAAATTACAAAAGTTTGACTGTAAAAGCGTCCTATGTTAGGTAGAAAATCAGTCACAAATTGCCACGCTCCAAATGATGTGCTGTACAAAACAACTCCGATATCTCTACATTACCCTTTCTCATTCTGTTTTCCTGATCTCATGGCGGCCAGTAATCACTCGCAAATGGAAGAGGACAGCACTGAAAAAACCATTCTGATAGTGAACGCACTGCACATTCGTTTTCAAGAACAGTATGATCTTACCATTATCTACTAAACTTCAGTTTCCCGTCTTTTCATGATTTCTAACAAAATCTCATTCCATGTATCGATAGGCCCTGGTAAACACCAATGCACACAGTCATTCTGTACACGATCTTTAATTCCATTGGCAAATGGAAAAGGATACAAATACGGCCCTGGATGGCCATCTGCTCTAAGGAAAGATAATGCAGACACATCTACATACTCAAATCTCAAGCTACCAAACCTCTTAGATTTTTCTCTTGCTGCCTTAACTTCTTTAATCCCTATATTTCTCATTTCTGCGTCCATCCCTTCTAGCTTCTTTTCACCTGCATTGTAAGGCTTTGTTTTGGGGCACGCCCCAAATTTATCCCATTCCCCTTCGAAGTGAGCAGGTGAAAATGTAGTTACAAAAACATCAGTTGCATTGCAACTAGATGATCTCTTCCTGTCAATTATTGAATTAACGGCTGTTTGATATGCCTTGCCATAAACATCATAGAATCCAATTTCAGTGCAATTTTGATCAGAGCGGTAGTGGCAACCTAGTAGGGTACCATTATAATAGTATACTGCCCGGTGTAAAAACCAATGCCCCACAGATAAAACTATCATGTCCAGATGATCAATTTCCCCTGCCCATTTCTCATCAACTAAATCCAGGTACAGTTTATTGTAATTTCGCGTGATATCAATCTCATCGGATTTCTCGATGCCTTTTACAAGAAATGGTGACCAAAAAATGGACACGGTAACATTATGAGAAGGGAAATGCCATTTGCGAAATTTGTTATCCTCACCATAACTACGAACAAGCTTAGGAGAAGAAACAGTGGCGATCATGCAGAGCAGAGATTCCAATTGGTTTCTGGCAACAGAATCACCCACAAAAGCCAAATGCTTATTGCTAAGGTATTGGAGAAATGTCCGAGGCTCAAACCTTGGCAATTTGCATTGTCTTGGCTTCCATCTCCAGTAGAGATAATCTTTGTCAGGCCTCCCATGGCTCATGCAATTCTGGCCATCTTTAATTGTACCACAAGTTGCACCATTGTACAGAGGTCCCAACTTGTCACGTTTCCATTCCCCATTCGAGTAGTCACACGCAGTTGGAGCATTAGAACTATTAACATCTGCAAGAAATCAAGACAGAAGCTTTTGTTCTCATACATACGTAAAAATTGGTGACTAACGCAAGCCTGAAAATACAGGAAAATGACAAACACATGTTGCCTTTTGATTATTGTGCATCCTAGACCAATGTACCTTGCGAATGAGAAGGGGAAGTGGAGTCATTGTTGATAACGTGATTTTTCGTATGAAGCTGACTAGTTGGAAATGAACGTCGTGAAGGAGGAGAAGCAGAGTCATTGTTGATAGCATTATCATTATTTGAATGAAGCTTACTAGATGGAGAGCGTAAGAAGGGTATTGGATGAAAACACAGATGAATGAGGAGTAGGGGGAGGAGGATGGAGAAGGTCCAAGGCAATAATTTTGTTAATAACGAGTTAGATTGATGTTTCAGTGGCTTTTTAGAGCCCATCTCTGGCTTCAAGTTAATTAATATGCTTGTTTTCTTTTTTTCTTGTGTGCTTTGCTTATGTTTCCATGCTTTTGGCTTTTGGAACTAGTGGCCGAGAATCCCACTATTTTTGGTTGAGAGAGAGATAAGAGGGATGGAGGAAGAAGATTAAAAGAAGAGAAGCTTGTGGGGAAGATTCAGTCAAAGCCAAGCAGAAAATCCCA